TAAATTTACATTTATGGTGTTTTTATGGAGAAAATGAAGATGAAAATCGTCTAGCGTATACTCAGTTTAGGGACCTTTCAGTTTTACAGGAAAAATAAAGATGAAAATGAATGTTACGAAAGTAAATGAAAGGTAGAGTTTAGTTCTGTAAAATACCTGAGAAATAGATTTTTTCTTGGTTGGAATACCCAACTGAGGGAATAGATAAATTAAAAATAAAACAAAAAGAAGATAAAAGTGTCATTTGAAATGAAAAAAAAAAAGATTTTCTGTCGCTCGGAATATCCAACAAGGGAATAGATAAATTTTTAAAAAATGCGTCATTTGAAATGCAAAGCTAAGTTTTCCTCTTGGTTAGAACTCCTAATCGAGGGAATAAATGAATTAATATATAAAAGAATAAGAAAGGCTTCAATTAAAATAAAATGCAAAATGTTGGATTTGAAGCTTGGTCTCTATGCCACTTTTCCTATCAGTTGGTTCTTACTTTTGAGGAAATATATTATATTTATTAATTTATAAATAAAAAAAATAGAAAGACTCTAATTGTAAAAATATAAATAAAGGTAAAAACTACAAGAGTTGGATTAGAAGCATGGCCTCTTACCTAATTTTCCTATAGATTGTTTTCCACAACCATGAAAATAGATGATATTATTTTAATAATAAATAAATAAAATATGGCATGCCAAGAGATTATACCTCAGTTATTTGTTGGTTGAGGTGAAATCTTTTTCATAGAATGTATTATTCATTCTAACATATGTTTATAAATTTAGATTTTATTAACTATTCCAAATAGTATTAAGTACGATGTTCGAAAATTATGAACTATCATACTGTAATATATGTAAAATATAATATAATAAAAAAGATAAAAATGCGTAAAACAGTTTTGACTTTGAATGTTTGTTAACTGATTAACAAATTGTAGTGTTTAAAGAGAAAAAACTATTATACTTGCCATAAAATTGTGAGCTACAAAATTATATCCATGTTTGACTACTTTTTGTGTATAGTGCGTGATTGTTCGGTCTGTTTGAGATATGTGAGCTCATATGTTCAACTTATTTTCTTCCTTTTTGAGGCATTTTTAGTTTACCTTATCCTTAGATGCACAACTTTCCATAGGTTATAGTTTTGCAATCTCCTCCCTTTATGGTTAGTGGTGCTATCAAACATGAAACATGATCTTTAGCCAATTTTCAACTTCAGTTGCATTTGGAATGAGTCTAATGTTTTTAAGACCATGATAAGCCCTAACAAACTTGACAAAGATTCAGCTAACTCATGTTTGAGTGTGTGCATCTTGTGTTGGGGGTCTGCTGTAAAACATGAACAAGAAGAAGATGATGAAGACGGTACGATGAAAGTTGAAAAAAATAATTCCAAAGTGTGTGTTTACACTAAACTTTAGGTTTGATTCGCCCCCACCAATTTATGTAAATTGGATGCAAAAGGGTTAACCGACAAATGTCTTTCAGGATATTTTGAAAACCTTAACATGAATCGCACATTCATATTAAGCATATCGATTAATGATATTTTACTGAATAAAGTTTCCTCATTTATTCTCGTGCACTAGAAAAATAAAGAAATGACTTAGATATAAGTTTTGCTTCTGAAAGATATTATTTTCATATATCTTTTATGGATGACAAGTATCTTTATTTATAAGAAAACTTGTATCGATTGGTGTGGAGAAACAATGTTTCATTTGATTCCGACGTGACCATTCGTGAACCATTGTATATCAATAACAACAAAATATTTCATGAAAAGTTGTGTCAATTTGGTGGTTGCACCTTTTGACCACGCGTCTTATCACAATAAGGTATTTGGTTCAATTCTAAAAAATTGCAACTTTTGGCTATTTATTTTGGTTAATTTAACCATTATTATTTATCAATTTAATATTTTAGAAATTTCTCCAACAATCCCCCACCATTTTCATAATATATCTAAATCAATTATTCAAGAAATTTTATGGTTTCAGATAAAGGTATCTTACGATTTGAACCAATACTTAGTAAGTTAAGTTTTCACTCATCTTCGAATAGATTGGTAGACAAGTTTTGAACCAATTATTCATTAGAACAAGGGTGCATAACTGACACTTGAAATCTCGGTACCATTGGTCGAATTATTAATATGACACATTTAATAAGGCATTGTGTCTCATATCATTTTCATGAGAATTTAAGAGTCAAGCCCTTGAACTCTATGAAGCGGCACCACTTCATTCTTATATAGGTAGACTATATAAGAAATGCACCCATAATTATGCATTCCAGCAAACATATATTATATGTCTATTAAGAGAAAAACCTCATACTACCACACTTATTCTTATGGTCCAAGTAATTTTACCCCTTTGGATGTATCTATCATTAAGTACTTCAATCACTCTAATAGTGTACTTTCATCGTTGAACTCAAAACTTAATAATAATCAAGTGTGAGCCGAGTTTCCACTATTGATGATTAATTAGATACGAGCGTGTTCCACATTTCTAATGATGTCTTCATTGTATTCAATTATATCCAAAGACATCATATCTTTGTCAATCTTTTCGTCAAAGAATTGCAAGATTTTTCCAAACTTTAATAAATTCCGAATATTCAATTTTTCAACTAATCATGCATATGATTACTTTATGTACTCTTGAGAGTATTTTCAATTTATCATCAAATCATAACACTTTTGTCATACTAGTACAATTTCCATATACAACATGTTCTATAAACTATCACCATGACACTTTTGTCATTTATTTTGTCATATACACAAATTTTATGCCATTCTTCCTTTGCTAACCTTTTTAATTTAAAGTTTTACTTCCACTTAAATATATCTAAAATATATCTAATTCATTAAACATTTATAACAATCGTCAACCATGATCAAACAAATTTGTCATGACAAACTTTTATTTCATGAAGTGAATTCAAACATGTAATTCATAAACTCCATATAAATACATACCATATAATTCATTTCTATTCTTTTTAGAATAAACAATTTTTTTTGCATAACTAATATGCATAACAAATTTTACGTGATAAATTCATGTTTCATATTTAACAATGTTCTATGGTATATCCAAATAAAAACCACAATACAAAGTAAACAATGAATTCACATCATTAATATTTTCTATAACTTTTCTCTATAAATATTTGTCAACTTACAATAACTTAAAATATGCCAAAATTACTTTTAATATCAGGATGAACAAAAATAATACTTTCATATTATGATACATATATAATATGAGATACATCATTTTAAATATAATAAATTCTTGCAAAAACTAAAATGCAATTTAAGCATGTCATTGATATTTCTAACATTTTATTTACATCATTTCATGTTACCAATACATGCACCATACATTTAAATTCATGAGTTTTTTTCACCAAATTATTTTATCTAAAATTTATGCATTATTAATTAAAACAAATTACCTGCACCAAAAATAATATTTAACATGTATTTTATATTCAAGTATACACCATAAACCAAAAATATTGTGTACCTTTAACCAACATTGAAAGTTGTTACTATCTTCTTCAAAATCGCATACTTTAATATTAATTATAAATAAAGTATGGATCAAAATCAAAAATCGAAAATCGAAAATCGAACCTAAATATTGTTAGATCTTGTGTTGGGGTTTGCTGCAAAAAAATGAACAATAAGAAGATGATGAAGACGGTACAATGAAAGTTAACACAAAATAATTCCAAAGCGTGTGTTTACACTAAGCTTTAGGTTCGACTCGTCCCACCATTTTATGCAAATTGGATGCAAAAGGATTAACCGACGAATCCCTTTTAGGATACTTTGAAAACTTTATCATGAATCGCACATTCATATTAAACATATCAATTAATGATATTTGACTAAATAAAGTTTTCTCATTTATTTTCTTGCACTAGAAAAATAAAGAAATGACTTAGATATAAATTTTGCCTCTGAAATATATTATTTTTATATATCTTTTATGGATGACAAATATCTCTATTTATAAGAAAATTTGTACCGGTTGATGTGAAGAAACAATGTTAATAACCATTCACAAACCATTGTATATTAATAACAACAAACTTTTTTATGAAAAGTTATGTTAATCGAGTGGTTATACCTTTTGACCACGCGCCTTATCACAATAAGGTCTTTGGTTCAATTCTAAAAAATTGCAACTTTTGACCATTTATTTTGGTTAATTTAACCATTATTATTACAAAAGTTTTCTATCTATTAATCTCCTTTATTTGTTGAATGTCTTCATCTGACTCCAAAATCGGTGAACACATTTATGGTAAAAATGACATTCTAAACTCCTCTTTATCATCTTCATATAATTAAGTGGTTGGTGTATCCCTTAAAGAATAAGAACTCGTTGACCCAATTTTTCTTGAGGCCCAAGAAATTATCAACGGGAATTAATCCATGATCTTGACAACCTGTGACTTGCTTTATAGGTTAAAACCATGAAGTTAGAACTAAAACATTATTGAAGTATTACAACCCCAATGTGCCACCAGCTAGTTTGGGCTTCTTCAACATACCCCTCTCAATTACAATTCAAAATTCTTTTCATGTTTTCACACACTAATCATCATTAATTCAAGCATAATGAATATCATGAGCCACAAAAAGTTACAAGTATGGACAAACTAGTAGGAACCTAGGGAAAAGGAAAGAAGAAAAAAAAGACACAATAAAAGCCTTATCATACATTTGATTCCTTCTTTTTCTTCATCTTTTACTTTTAACAGTAACATTTTCATATAAAATAGCACCACTTAATTAATAATCTTTGGCTCAAAAGAACAAGAATATACAAAGTTGCTTAGATTTGTGGAAAGTGACATCTTCGTCTTCACAAAAGCACTACCTAGTTAAACTAGCTATTTATATATATCTGTGCACTATTTTTTTTTTTTTTATGGCTAGTAATAAGATCATGTGAATATTTTAAACAAGTAAGAAAATTAATTTGATCTCCCTAAGGTGAACTCCAAGTTTGGATTTTTCTGACAATCTATGTTTTGATCCTTGAAGCTTCTTGATTGTGTATAGTTGTTTCCCTGCAAAAATAAGTAATAGTTATCGATTAGTTTTCGGCCACGGTTGAAAAAGTGTGGATATATTTTCCAAGTTAATATAAGAAAATTTCAACCTGAAGAAGGTTCTCTAGGTGTTGAGATGATAGGGTTTCTTCTGTACTATGCTCATCAAAATCTCTGGAATTACCTTGTGTCCATGTTCCTTTACTGTCATAGGGAACAAAAATGATGTTAATGAAGAGAGCGATAAAAAAATACAAAAAACTGTGATATCAGGTAGTATAAAAAGTATATGTTATTATTAGAAAGATCTTAAACTCCCACATTGGTTAGTATTGAAATAGTTTATATAGAGTGACACCCCTCACCTTACCAACTGGTTTTATAAGATTGTGTTAGGTCAAACTCTAATATGGTATCAGAGCCTATCGATCTTATTTATAATAGAATGTGATAGTTTTTTTTAACTAGAATTGTCATAGAAGACAAATTGAAATTTTATAGAGTGGTTTATCTTTTAAGTGAAATATACTTTATATAGGAGATTATGATCATTTCTTGAATTAAGATTGTTAGTTTAGACAATGGAAATTGATGTTTCATTTTCAATATATCAAAGTGAAAAAATTTTATGCTAGTTGAAATGATACATATTGAATAAGTTCACATTACTAAGTTGAAATTGATGTGTACTGATTTTGAATTATTTTATTAACATTTTACAAAGCTGATATATTTTATTTATAAATGTATATCAATAACCTATATTTTAGTTTTCATTTTTACATATTAAAAACATTTTTCTTAACTATATAACATAAAAAAAAATTATACTACATTTTAGTTGGTTGAGTCTTAGTCCAAATCCAAAGACCATAGTTAGGTTAGTTTTAGGCTTAAAATAAAAAATTCAGTCAAATTCAACAAGTCAAATCCAATACAACTGGACCTATATATGAACATATTTTAATACAATATTCTTACCTAAAACTGCTACTATATATTTATAATATTCTCAATAAATTACTCATAAATCAAAATTTTCATTTTAAATATTAAAATTTATTTTCTCTAAGCTAGCAATAAAGGTGTACGAAAAAGAGACAGTAAATTGAAGATTACTATCTGTTTTTCTCTGACTTGCAAGGAACCCTATATTGCAGAAAAATAATGTGATGAAGAGACTCAGAAATTTTGGTTGCATGTGATAGTCAAAGCTGACAATAAGCCAACTCAATTCTGGACCAACATTATTAGGATTTAGGGAACCTAAAAATATAAATTTTTGTGATAAAACATTTTACTTTTGCCTCATAAATCGATGTATGTGAATTAGTGTCACAAATCATTATATTAATAAACTTTACTTTATTTTATGTAACCTCACTCAAAAACACTATTTTATTGTATGTTATCCAAAAAAAAAAAGTTTCATATTGTATATTATCCATTTAAATCACAAAGATCAAGCTACATGTTTTTATGTCAAACTGTTGTAAATTTGATTATATATCTTGGTCTTGGCTAATAGGTTTTTGATTAACTAATCTAAAAATGAATTTCATACCGTCAGATTTTTCACGATATCGCGTAGTCATATCTTGATCGGACAGTCTATAGAAAACAAGTTTAAGTTTCATTTAATAATATAAAATGTTAAATTTTTATTTAATAAATTAAAATATACATTTCTTTAACCGCATCTGTCTGATTGAGTGACTATATGAAATTTGCAATTGACATAATTTGGCTCCGCGTGACAATTTAATGGTAAAAATTTACTTTGTATAATATTATTTTAATTAATAATAATTTTACCAATTGTTTTCAACGTATTTTGCGCCGGTTTATTGTGTGGACGAGATTTTTTTATCAAAATTAAAATTACCCAACATTTTTTTATTTTTTCATAAATATACATTTTAAACCTTTAATCCAACAAGATATTATTACTCCACTACCTAATTTTGTGTATAAATGTTCTTATTAGTTTTAGTTACTATAGTAATCATTATGAATGATTTTATTAGTTTTAGTAGTTAGTAATCATTGTGAGAGTTTGTTACCTAAGATTCTACCCTCTTTTGTACCATTAGATTGACACAAAATTTGAATTACAACCTATAGTACAAAGCATTCATCTTTCATGAAGCTAAAATACAAAAAGTACTATTTCACATAGAAAAAATGATTCTTTTTCATTGTGTACTTTGTAACGGTTTAGTAAGATAATGTTTTAGTTGTTAAGAGTTTCAAAGATATATAACCTTAAGAAAGTAAAAAAGTAAACAAGTCAATGTAGAAAAGAAAATGTGTTGTTCTAAAATTGAGTAAGTTGAGTTTTAGAAAGTACTATTGAAACAATAAAAGTTTTATTTTTGTTAACTTATGTTTATTTACACATAACAACTAAAAATTCATCTAGCAAGGTTAATAACTTTTATTTTATCTTTTTCTACATTTAAAGAAATTGTACCAAAAAGGGTTGTCACCCATATGAGGAATAGTTACTTTGATCTTTGAAAAAAAAAGTAGAATTGGTGAAAATGTATGAAAAAAGCTAAAGTTGTCAGAAAGAAGCACTTTTATGTTTCATAAAAGAATATGGATGTAACCATGCATTCATGCATATATAAATATATAAAAATTAGTAAAAAATATATATATTTCTCAAATATTCAAAAATATTAATGCAAGATAATTAAGAAATGTTACCTTGAAGATGAATTTCCCCATAAATTATTGGAAATGAAGCTAATATCATGATCTAGAGATAGATTATTCTGAGTATGAGGTGGTGTTAGGGACATGAAATTCTCATCTCCATCTGTTAAATTTGCATTAATAAAAATTAATTAAAAATTCTTAATCATATAGTAATGTAGACAAAGTATAGGTTGAATTAAATTTTCAGTGTTCACTTAGGTCTAAAAAACATTATTTAAATATGGAAGAATTAATAGGATGAGTCATAAAGGGTTGTGAGAGGAATCTTCACATGATTTGAGTAAAGTAGACTCAAAATTTGGAACAAAGACCTAGGAATTAATTATTGTATAAATTTGATTAGGTAAAATATTACTAGTACAATGCAACTTTGTGAATTTCATTATGAATTACCTGAAGAAGCTGCTGGCTTGTCAGTGTTTTTTACAGTTCTATACATCTGCATAAGCCACACAAAGTACAATTAAGATCAAAATAAACAACAACAAAAAAATGAACAAAAGTTTTTTAATTTATTTGTGATTGTGTCTGTAATATAAATAAATCTAAAATCTCTGCAAAAACATCATTATAAAAATTTCGACTACATCGACTCATTTTTTGCATTTCGTAGCATAACCATCATTGGAACTAGAATCACAATTTAAAAACTATGGGTAAGATTTATGTTAACTCATCTCAGTTGAAAGTCGAAAAAGCATTAAACTGCTAGGTTAATCCAGATCAGTTGATAGTTGGAAAAACATTAAATTATTAGGTTAAATTAGATCAAATGATAATCGAAAAAAACATTAAACTACTAGGTGGTTAAACATCTGAATCTTTGTCGTCTATTTATTTATCTTTAAAATTTGAAATTAGAGTCGATGATGAGAGGATGGAAGGGTTTGGAAAGATCAAATAAAAAGAATTGGAAAATAAAATAATGAAATGAGATTTGTAAGGGTTTGTTTTGATTTTAATTAAATATACCTAATATCAATGAGGTTGATGTTTGGTAAGGTAAGTAAATTGGTTCTATTATTGAGAAATGATGGCTACTTTTCCTACTTTAAATTTCTTTTTTCTCTCTCTCATAAAAAGTAGAACTTGTCTGGTTCTGTGCATCAAAACAAACAGATTCAACTGTTCATCTCTCCATTCACTCACTCACTGCATGCCTTGGTTCTTGTGCCTCTTAGAAGATAGACTTTGGATTTTGACAATCCACTTCAGTCACACATAAAGAGATTTTCTGATTTTCTAATTTTGTTTTATGTGTCAAGGGAAAAAAAGGGGTAAAAAACACACTTAGGTTTGAGAGTTAGTTATATTTTGTACCTGTAAATGGCTCTTCACATGAGCTAGTGTTAGATCTTTCACATCCATTAGCTCCAAAACTGACTTAGGTGTTGCTCCTATCATCCAAAATTCAAAAGAAAATTTCATCAAGATTTATAAAAATACAATTATATTATCCACGGATACATCTGATTACATTTAGATCTGATAACTCAGCAGTTCTTGCACCGATATAGTGTATGTTTGAATTGACAGAATTTTAACAGAATTATAAATTTATATAATTCTGTTAATTATACTGTCAATTCAAATATACAAACGGTTAACTTTGGCTGTATCGATGCGGATGTTGCAGAGAGGATCTACACATAGAAACTAAAAGGAGAGAGATTCACTTTCATGGCCGCCGAGAAGCTCAACGGCGTGAACAAATCGATTATGAAGCGAACTAGTCCACCGCATCCTCGGAGCTCTCGTGTTCCTCTTATTACTTTGTTGCCTTGGCATCATCATTCTTGACCTTACAAATCCATTTCCAAACTCCGAATTTCCAAACTGATTATACTTCTCTTGTCCATTTCCAAACTCCGAATTTCCAAACTGATTATACTTCTGTTGTTGCCGTTGCTGCTGTTGTTGTAGAATTTGATGTTGATTTAAATTCAAGTATTGAAACTTGTGAGCCCTTAAACTCTCCATAGTTATTCCATTAAACCTCGAAACTTGCTTAACACCCTCAAAAACGCTATTACCAGAAGAACAAGAAGGATGAAGAGAAAAATTTGAATCTTTCTCTAATATTGAAGGATTGCAAGGGATTCCATTAAAGGGTCTTAATCTAACAAAGCTTTTTCGCTTCCAAAGACTCTCAGCTTCAGAAGGAACTGTTGTTGTAGTTAACGAAAGTTCTGTATCATCAGTTCTTTGAAATGAATCGCCATTTTTCTTGAATGAAGATGAAAAACCATCGCTATGAGATTTGAAACCTTCATGAACATTTTTCCATATATCAAAAGGTGAATCCAAATCATCAACTTCATTTGTTGTTGCGCAAATTGATGAAAGATCACTGTTTGGAAGACTAATTTGTAGAGAAAGATCAGGAATCTGATTCTGTGACATGTTTTTTTTAATTCTTAGATAAATTTCAACAACCTGAGACAAACAAAGAAAAATTAACAACAAAAACATGTAACAAGACATAGATATAGGACAATCAAATTAAGGATGTTTTTTATTTTATTTATTTATTAAATTACTATACTATTGAGTAAGAGAAACAAACCCTTGAAAGAAAAGTAAGAAAAATTAAAGAAAGAAGAAGAAGATAGAATATATTAATTAAGGTGATTAATTGTATATAGAGTATGATTAACAATTAATAATTAATCATTATTAATAAATAATAATAATGAAATAAAAAACAATATACCCTTTATCATGAGCTTCATAAAACAAACATCCTTGAAAGAATCATGAGAGAGACTCTAGAGAGAGAGGGATGAGGTTTGTTTCTGGGAATAAGTTGAGTTTGAGAGTATATATAGGAAAGTGACACTCTAACAATTCCATTATTTTTTATTCTATCATAATAATAATAACTATCTTTTTCTGAATAGTCAAAACACGCAAACACTGAAAAGTTTGGACAAAATTTTTCTATGATAATTAATATATTAATTCTCCGGAGACAACGGGGTGAAATATTGTATGCATTATTGAGTGTAGAGTGTAGAAACAGTAAACAAACACTGTCCGTACTATAAATACTTACTTAACTACTCCATATACCTAGCTACTACTTCAATCTCTATTATATTTTTATATAAAGGAATAATAATAGTGTGTCACAAAGCTTAATCATAATATTCTTTCATATACTAAGTCTTTGATTTGTTTGAATTGACCATAAATTTGATAAAATTATAGTTTGCTATATAATTTTGAAAAATATTATTCCAATTTTATCCTAGGAAAAAATTGGTTCAATATAGTGTGATGTTAAACATGACATAATTTCTAGGATTGCACAAAATTATTTATGGTAAATGGGGGAATTAAACCTCAAATTTGGAGATGATTTGAATAATTTTTTATGAACAAATATTAATCTTTTTGATTGATCACGTCTCTCGTTTTTTAATCTTTGTTTGAGTGATTCAACCACACATTATTTGTAAGATGATTTTGCCGCATAAAGATTTTAAAAGGAAAGAATTTTAGAGAGAGAGAGCACTTTTAACCTTTAGATGCAAAATGCATAATATCATGGCTAAAGAAGTGAGGTAACAAAGTGCGACATAAAAACTCGTCACTTATCATCTCGATGAAATTAAAACCAAGAGATAAAGTTATATGCACATGGGTTCGAACACCAACAACAACAGTTTTATTATTTTCGAAACTGGGGTTTGATTATTTCTTTTATTTTTATAATTAAAATAGTGTTACATTGTTTAACCAGAATATTACATTGTTTAAAATAAAAATCAAATTCCTTAAAGAGATCCTACATGCATTTGATTCTGAAGCAAAACAAAATAAGGGTTAGATAAATAAAAATAATATTCAAATATATGATTTTGTGCTCAAATAAATATTTAAGAAAACAAACTTTAAACCAGGTTATTTTTTCCTCTTGCAATCCATCTTAGAGAACTTTTCCAAACATCTTTATGTTTCAAGCGGTTCATGTCCATATAGGTTATATTTTCAATATTCAACATGCTTTTATAATGGATGTCCCTTAGGTTTCACGCGGATTACTAATGAAAAATTCTTGAGCGTTGATAAACATTAAATGGACGACAAAGATTTTGTTTAAGAGCGTTGAATATAGTAAAAAAAACGCTTAACTATCCCCTCGGTCACGAAGAAAACCGAGGTGAATAAGCTATTTTTTTTTTAATTTTAAAAATAAATTATTTACACAGAATATTAAAAATACATTGTAAAATTTGTTTCCTAATGAGAAATTTTATTTTACATGTTGAGGTACATTCAAGATGCTAGGGATCTGTTTCTTAATAAGATTTTTTATTTTCTGCACTTGCAATCCATCCCACACACTACAACAAATAACGTTTTTTAGGACGAAACCTTCACCCTGAACAATAAAAAAAATGAGGCATAAAGTCAAGGTACGCTATTTTTTATTATTTAAAAAATAAATAAATTCTCTTAGTTTTTCATAAAACCGAGGTGAAAAGCAACTCAGTATAAGCTTTGATTCACAACTATCGTAGTTTATGGTTCTATTTATTTATAAGTGTAAACAAAATATTCTAAACCTTCATTTTCTATTTAACCGAGTCAAAAGATAATAAGATTTTACTATAAAAGCACTTGTTAAACTGATTTTACCCTAATCCTTACTAATATGAAGCCAACCCAAACTCATAAGTATCATTTTTTGGGATGGATTATAAAATAGAAAAAATATTTAATTTTCTTCTATCTTGAACAAAATATTTTTTGCCCTTGTTATCCATCCCAACATAATGATGTTGATGCTGTCATTGTTGTATTTTTTTAATAACCCTCAATTATAGAATGTAACTCAACTTTTGAAGAGTACTCAGTTGATAGATTGCAAGTGCAAAAAATTATTCTTGCTTCAAGTTAATCAAAGAATGGAGTTTAACCAACAAAGAAGCGAGCTCAACCTTTAAAGAGTAATCGGTTGATAAATTACAAGTGTAGAAAATCATTCTTGCTTAAACAAAGAATGAAGCTTAACCAACAAAGAAGGGAGCTCAACCTTTGAAGAGTACTCATATGATAAATTGCAAATGTAGAAAATCATTCTTCCTTCAAGTTAAACAAAGAATGGAGGTTAACCAACAAACAAGGGAGCTCAACCTTTGAAGAGTACTCCGTTGATAGGCTGCAAGTGCAGAAAATCGTTCTTGTTTTAAAAAAATTGTTTTAATGGGTATGCAAAAAATTTGGATGTCATCAAAGATTTGTTGTAAATAATGTATTTTAATATTTTGTGTAAGCAATGTATTTTCACACAAAAAAAGAATTATTAACCTCTTTTTTATTTAACACCGAGGTGATAGTTGAAAGAAGAAGATATAAAACCTCAATTTTCTTTATCTCTGAGGTGATAATTAAAAGGAGAAGAAATAAACCTCGGTTTTATAGTAAAACCGAGGTGGTTAGTAATTATATTTTACTATAAAAGCAATTGTTAAATAGATTATAATCTAAGACTAACTTATATGTAGTCGCCCTAAAGAGAGAAAATATTCACCACCGTCCATTTTAATCATGAGTTGCTACTACAGATCTCTATGATGGATTGCAAGTGGAGAAAATAAAAATTCTCATTGAGAAATAGATCTCTACCATCTTGCATGGGACCTAGACATGTAAAATAAAATTTTTCATTGGGAAACAGATTTTACAATGCATTTTTAATATTCTGTGTAAACAATGTATTGAAAAAAAACAGCTTAACCTCGGTTTTCTTTGTGACCGAAGGGATAGTCAAGTATTTTTTTACTATATTCATCGTCCTTAAACAAATATTTTTCGTCCATTTAATATTTATCAACGCTCAAGTATCTGCCATTAAAGATCCGTGTGAAACCTAAGGGACATCCATTATAAAAGCATGTTGAATATTGAAAATCTAACCTAAATAAAACATGAAGCGCTTGAAACATAAAGACGTTTGAAAAAGTTCTCTAAGATGGATTGTTATAGTAGAAAATGACTTGGGTTTATGGTTTGTTTTATTAAATATTCATTTGAGTACAAAATCATATATTTGAATATTCATTTTATTTATCTAACTTTTATTTTATTTTGCTTCAGAATCAAACGCACGCAAGACCTGTAGAGAATAATCTTGCACCGAACATTTGATATTCCCCAAGATTCTATAATTTGAAGATCTAAGATGTAGATCTTCGGGATCGAGATGAAAAATACGCTAGTTTCAGAAATAATAAAAGTGATGTTGTCGGGGTTCGAACTTTTCCTCTTGGTTTTAATTCCACTGAGGTGATAAATGGCGAGTTTTTATGCCAACCTTCGTTACCTCGCTTCTATAGCCTAAGTATTATGCATTTCACGTCTGAGGTAACAAGCACTTTTTATAGTAGTTAGAGATATGTAGTAATAACTCATGATCAAAATGGACGGTGATGAATATTTCCTCTCTTTGGGGTGGATACATATAAGTTATTCTTAGGGTAAAATATGTTTAGTGAGTGTTTTTATAGTAAAATATGATTACTAACCACCTTGTTTTTTATAAAATTGAGGTTTTTTTTTATCTTTGACTTTTAACTATCACTTCGGTGATTAAGAAAACTGAAGTGAATAATATTTTTTTTAGAAAATACATTGTTTACACAAAATATTAAAATATATTAGTTTACAGCAAATCTTCGGTGATATCCAATTTTTGTTGCATACCCTTTAAAATAATTTTTTTTGAAACAAAAATGATTTTATACACTTGGCATCTATCAACTGAGTACTCTTAAAAGGTTGATCTCTCAATCTTGTTGGTTAAGCTCCAATCTTTTCTTAAAACTTGAATTAAGAATGATTTTCTGCACTTACAATTTATCAACTGAGTACTCTTCAAAGATTGAGCTTTGTTCTTTAATTGAGGGTTATTCCAAAAAATACAATAACAACAACAACATCAAAACCATTATGTGAGATAGATTGAAAGGGCAGAAAAATATTTTGTTCAAGATAGAAGAACATTGAAGATTTTTTCTATTTTGCAATCCATCTCAAAGAATGATACTTGTGAGTTTGGGGCGGCTTCATATTAGTATGTATTACTGTAAAATCTGTTTAACGAGTCCTTTTGTAGTAAAATCATATATTTTATACCTTGGTTAAATGGAAAACTGAACGGTTATAACATTTTTTATACTTATAAACAAATAAAATCATAAAATGCGATAATTAGAAATCGAAGCTTGTAATTAGTTGTTTTTTCACCTGATTTTATGGAAAATTCAGGGAATTTATGTTTTTTAAAATAATAAATAATACAGTTCCTTGCCTTTATACCTCACTTTTCTATTGTTTGAGGTGAAAGTTTCGTAATGAAAAGTGTTATTTGTCGTTGTGTGTGTGTGTGTGTGATT